TTTTTTTTTTTTTTTTTTTTTTTTTTTTTTAATTTTAAATACCAGAATTTAGGATTTATTTGAATAAATTTCTCAAAAAAATACTTATGTAAGAGAAAAGTAGGAAGAAAAATTTAAACAAGTTTCTCCATAAGTTAAAACTAACTTATGCATGAGTTAAAAATAAGATTTTGAAGAAGATAATAGAAGAGAGCTTATACAAATTTGCTTATGAACAAGCTAATTTTAATTTATGGGGAAACTCATTTCATTTTTTCTTTCTATCTTTCTCTCCTTGAAGTGTTTTTAGAATAGTTTGCCCAAGCAGACCCTAACCAATTTGACATCTTATATAATGTGGATACATGGTAGTCACAATTGCAATGTACAAGATCGATTAGGTCTTAGCGATTCTCTGAATTATGAGCTAAGAAATTTGGTCAACAACTGCTTTTTTCTGAGATAAGGAAATAGCATACCATTGACAGCTATTTGCTGCAGTTTGGTTTTCTGCCAAAATAATTTTTCAGAATGATATCTATAAATAGAATAATTGTACTAAATCATGAAGTTTGCTTAGAGAATGAACATATTACAAAGTTTGAGTCACTGTGTATGTGAATTTATTCAGAAGAAATCGACACTGAAGTGTCGGTTTTTCTAAAGATTAGTGCAAGAACTAGCTTCTTGTGCCAAAGTGTATTGTAATAGTTCATCATTCTTCGTCCGTTATGTACAAAAGATAGTTAATATTTATTCCTACTCTACTGTAGCAGCTTGTTTATTGGTGGATAAATATCCAATACTTTATTGAATGCTGTGGTTGTCCTTTCATGGGTTGCAGATGACACCTTATAATCCTGCAGCCACTCCTACTAGTTCCTTGGAATTTAAGGGAAGGATTGGGGAGCCGCATTATAGTCTCAAAACATCTACTGAACTCCTAAAAGTGCTAAACAGAATATGGAGCTTGGAAGAACAACATGCTTCCAACATTTCACTGATAAAAGCATTAAAATCAGAGCTAGATCATGCTCGTTTCCGGATCAAAGAGTTGCTTCGAGATAGACAAGCAGATCGACATGAGATCGATGACCTGATGAAGCAAATTGCAGAGGATAAATTGGTTCGGAAGAGTAAGGAGCAGGATCGACTCCATGCTGCTGTTCAATCTGTGAGGAATGAACTTGAGGATGAGAGGAAATTAAGAAAACGGTCAGAGAGCATACACAGGAAGCTAGCTCGGGATTTTTCTGAGTTGAAGTCCTCTCTGACTAGCGCTCTAAAAGAATTGGATCAAGAGAGAACAAGAAGAAAACTATTAGAGAACCTCTGTGATGAATTTGCCAGGGGAATAAATGAATATGAACAAGAGGTGCATACTCTGAAACACAAGTCCGATAAGGATTGGGTTCAAAGGGCTGATCACGATCGATTGATCCTCCACATATCTGAATCATGGCTGGACGAACGTATGCAAATGCAGCTGGAAGCAGCTCAGAATGGATTTCTGGATAAGTCCATAGTCGATAAACTAAGCCTTGAAATAGAGACATTCCTTAAAGCTAAACAAAATAGTAGGAGTACAGAAAATATAGCTGTAAGAAATCGCCGTAATTCCTTGGAATCTGTTCCACTGAATGATGCTGTCAGTGCACCTCAAGAGGTGGGTGATGATGATGATTCTGTGGGTAGTGATTCAAATTGTTTTGAGTTGAACAAGCCAAATAACAAGGGATCTAAGGTACATGAAGAAGAGCCTGATGACAAAAATTTTGAGGAGACATTGAAAACCAACCACACAAAGAAAAAACCAGTACCACGAGAAGGGTTAAAACATCGTAGCCCTTCTAGCCTGCAAGTGAAGTTTGAAGAGCAGATAGCATGGGCCATGTCATCTGATTCACATAAGAAGTCCCAGTCAATTGATGCAGAGCAGGGTAAGACCACAAATACTAGGCTTGTTGAAGGGACTATATCTGAAAAGTCTGAACACTTTGAGATTAACGAAAATGATGGTTCTGAGAGAAAAAATAACCCCAGTGAATTGCACAGCTCCAATAAAAATCACATTATTGATAATCTCATAAGAGGTCAACTTTTGGCATCAGAAGGTGGCAATATGCATGCTGAAAATAATTACGGTGAGGCTTCCTGCAGCAATGCTGGGTGGAGGAATCAAGCAAGCCCTGTGAAGCAGTGGATGGCAAAACTCGCATCCCAAGACCTTGACATATCGGAGGCTTCTAAAGTGCCTTCAGGATCAAAGGAGAGTAATACTTTGAAAGCGAAGCTTCTTGAAGCTAGGTCCAAGGGGCAGAGATCGCGATTAAAAGCCTTGAAAGGGTCCTTTTAGAGGTTGTTTAGCATAAACATGTTGGAGAATTCGGGTAGGTAATAAGTTGTTGGGGAATTTGCATCCAGATGATGTTTGGTCATTACACTTCCCTCGCGTCTCTTCCTTTCATGTTTCTGCTTTGTTCATAAATTTTACTTTTTTATCTGTAACATATTTCTCCTTGGGATTTTATTCTCTATACTACTGTAGATGTTGTCATATCATGTAGCTACAAGAATCGGATCGAGTTTTGAGAAGTGAAAAACAAATACAATTTTGGTTCATCGTGCTTGGCATTGCTCACAAAGAGAATGATGATATGAATGAAAAAACTGCTGGATGAGCAGTTGTAAATCTAAGCATTGAAGTTAACAAAATTTAATTATTAATTTATTGTGTAGTGAAATGAAATGAATGGATGAGATGGATGCAGTTTTCCTAAAAATTGTAGAGGATCAAAATCCTAATTTTTGTGGGGTTGGGTTCAAAATAAGCGATTGGCTCGTAACTAAAATCTTTTTAAAAATTGTATTCCCAGTAGTAGATCACTCAAGTTGCATATTAAATATTTAAACTTATGAGAACTATTATATAAATATATTCTTAAAACAATTTTACATGTAATAATTAGCAGTGAATATGTATAAGAATAACACAAAACAATGAATATCTTCCTATGAAGAATAACACAAAATATATGCTAATTATGAATTTCTCTTTATGACGAGAAAGCAAGTCTCAAGCCAATTGAAGGAGGCTCATGATATATACACCTTCTTTTTTTATAAGTACACCTCCTTTATTATTTTTTAAAAAATTATAAAATATTGTAGTTTTTTTTAATTTTCTAATTTTACACCTTTAACTTTCAATTTGTTACTTTCTTCTTCTTTTTCACATACTTTTTTTTTCTCTTTTAATTTTCACATACTACTAAAATAGGTGGGGTGAAAGAAAAGTAAGGGAGTGCATGTAAAAATTGAAAAAATGAGAGAAGATGTGTAAAAAAAAATATTGAATTAAATGTTGTGGATGTAAAATTTAAAAATTAAAAATACAAAAATACAAAAGACAAAATAAAAAAATTAAAAATATTTTAAAATTTTAATTATTTTTTAAAAAAAGAGGTGTACTTATAGAAAAAATGAGGTGCATATATCATGAACCATTGAAGGAACCGCGGACAAGTTTTGGGTCAATGGCTCATGATATATACACCTCCTTCTTTTTACAAGTACGCCTCCTTTTTCTAAAAAAAATTATAAAATATTATAATTTTTTTTATAAAAAATTTAATTTTACACTTTCAACTTTCAATTTATTACTTTCTTCTTCTTATTCACACACATTTTTTTCTCTTTCAATTTTCACATGCTACTAAAATAGGTGGGGTGAAGGAAAAATAAGGGAGTGCATGTAAAAATTGAAAAAAGGAAGAAAGATATGTGAAAAAAAAGTACTAAATTAAATTTTGTGAATGTAAAATTAAAAAATTTAAAGCAAAAAATTAAGAATATTTTAAAATTTTAATTATTTTTTTTTAAAAGGAGGTGTACTTATAAAAAAAAAGAAGGTGTACTTATAAAAAAAAGGAGGTGTATATATCATGAACCTCAGAGGTGCCGAGAAAAAATAGATGGGCCAAATTGGGCTGGCCCGAACAGGGAAATCCAATTGAAGAGGCGTGAAGTGTGTCTGCGAAGAAGAGCGAAACGCAGACGGCGTCCGTGATGGCAGCGTCGTTCAGGTGGATATTACAATTACACAGGGATGTTCCAAAAGCCGCACGCTTCTACTCCGAAGGCTTGGATTTCACCATCAACGTTTGCACTCTTCGTTGGGCCGAACTTCAATCTGATTCTCTCAAGCTTGCCCTCATGCACTCTCCCAAGTACTCTTCCCTTTTCTCATGCCCTCCACCTGTTTGATAATTTGTTCATTCCAATTAGCAATGACCACTACGTACCTGATGCTTTATTAACTTTAATATGCCCCATAAATGTATTAATAACGAGAACCAACACAAATATACTGATGAAAAGAGAAATAAAATTAGAAATCATCGAGCTTTACGCTTCTATGTAGTTTTGTATCTTGTACGCGGATCACTTTTGTGAATCATCTCAACATTTTTTAGCATTTAAGACTACATGAAGTGGACCATTATTAGTACTGAATTAGTGATTTTCTTCAGTGACATGATTGGTTTCATATTCAGTTCATTTGCTATTCTTTTTCTACGTTTTACTGATAGCCCAAAATGTATATATATTGAAAGAAATGTTTGGTGTGGAATATTGGATGGAGTGGTGATTCAATTTTAATTTCACAGTGACCAAGCCTCACAGAAGGGGTACTCATCGCTTCTGTCATTTACTGTGACCGACATAAACAGCACAGTAACTAAGTTAATGGCGTTAGGAGCTGAACTAGATGGACCAATAAAATACGAGGTTCATGGGAAGGTATTGTGATTCATTCTAGCTTTCATACTTATTGACTTGTAAGGTCTGATGTGATTTTACCCGTGATCAGGTTGCAGCTATGCGATGTATTGATGGACATGTCTTAGGCCTCTATGAACCTGTGTAAGATACGTTGGATAGGAGATTCAGTATACAATAGCCTCTTTTGTCATGGTAACTGTTTTTTGCCCGTTGTGATATTGGGGAAGATAGTGTTAACATGTGATAATATATTATGCTTTTTCTTTATGGATTCCCTGCAATAATTGATAGTGTTCTCTTGTCAACAAGACCTATAGCAGCATGATGTAGCGTGTGAAGCAATAGAACTGAGAATAAGGCAAAATGATTAGAAGATTGAAAAAAAGCTATTCAGATGCCTTCAAATTATCTGTCTTGTAGATGGGGTTTTGGCTCCATCCATATCTGCTACAAGTGACAGGAAATCACCTTTTCTGTTTTTTCTTCTTAAGGAGGATAGCGTCTCTTTCTTACCTGTTGAATTTTGATTGAATTTTCGTCTCGTGTATTCTTTATCTCAGTATTTGGTTCTTTTATGGTTATACATTGAAAATTGACGTTTTCAATTATAACAGTAATTGTAGCCTTCGCCCTGCAATCACTCAACGATTGAATTATTTGATTGCCGACGTGGACTAATGTGTTTTTCGTGTGCTAATACGTGATTTGGCGTCTGATAGCCATCAGTTGAAAAGATTCATGTGATACACGAAGATAAGCCCCATATCATGTTCTGCAAAACTCGTTAATGTAATGTAAAAAAGAAAACTAAAATGGAATGTACATCCCAATTTAACGACTCTATCCTAATTTAGTAGTAATTAAGTTAAAGAACGTGTTGCTGCATCTCTCATTTATATATCACCCATTTGAAAATCCGGATTTTGCTCGTTGCATTAGTTATGTTTGTAGTTTCAGTGATCTCTCCAACACCACACAAGATACAATCTCGCCATCCGTGGGAATAGGGGTGGGAACAAAATTGCAACCCGACCAAACTCGGAAAATTGAAAAAAAAATTTAGGCGATTTCAAGTGAGTTGTTGAAATTTCAGCTGGTAATAGATTTAAGCAAGTAATTTCGATTTTAAAATTTTAAATCTACTGAAAATTAATTCATCTACATCTAGTGCATGTTTGATTTCACATCTATGATCTAAGTTTAAAAAAGAATCACATCAAAATTGATGCAAAAACAATTAATTATTATTTTTATTAATTCACATTCAACCAAAATTGATGTGAATTGAAATATGCTTTTAGTTTAAACTAAACAAAATTCAACATATGCTTTTATTTTATTTTATTATATATATATATATATATATATATATATATATATATTTTATATATACAATATCCTTGCTGATGAGAATTGTAAGTAAAAAATCACAAACACAGCAAAACGAGATCGGAAATTAAT